GCACCCCCACAGTGCCCTAAATCGGTACCTAGTTGATTAATTAATTGTCTTTGCAATAAAATGTACAAGTTCAAAATTAATTTGATTTATGATCCCCTAAAATAATATTTTTCGAAATTTTGGATGAAAGAATAATAATATTTAATTATTTCTTATCGAGAAGAAATGATCTATCATACCTTGAAGCAATCGATTATTACTCCAATCGAAATAAAAAATATTAAAATTTCATTCTAAATTTCAAAATAATAACACCCAAAATAATTTTTAGAGATAAAATAATAATATTTAATTATTTATGATCGAACATTATTATTTTGAAATCCCTTTAAAAACACATGCAAAAGTAAAAAAACAACTATCAAGCAATTGATTAATTATTTATTTACCAATATTTAATGAGAATAAGGGTATTCAATTAATTAAATATCAAGAGACGAGACCATAGATTCGATCTAACTGCCTTTCTCGATGAATTTAATTAAAAGAATATGATCTTTTCCTCAGTTCCCAAATTTTAAAAATGAATCTGTTTTAATTGGTGTCACTTATAGGATAGACTTTCATTTTAAAATTATCGAAAGTAACTTTCTTATACGTTAAGACAGTTACTTTACGACAATATTAAAATGCTCGAATATTACCCTTAATCAATTTATGTAATAATGTCGAGTTACGCATGTGAGGCTAGCATGCAACATTTAATTAAAGTAATAATATGATTATCTAGTTAATAAATAATATAGGAATAACATGCGATGACATTTTAATACCCAAATTATATACATTATAACTTACATATATATATATATATATAAATACATCTGCGCATGTATTATGATAATTTGGACATAAAAAAATCTTGTTATTTAAACATCAATGCATGATGGCATTTTGACAATCAAAGAACCTAAAAACTAAATATACACACATATTCATTCATGCGATTAAAGACCTACACGCATGTACTAGCCCAGGAAAACAACGTAATGGCTAAAACGAACAAAATAAAAGCTAAAGGTTATTAGCATGAAAGAAAGCAAACATCATATTTTAATATAAATAATTAAACAGTGTGGGTATCATAACTGTTAATACTATGAACATTTAGGACCAAAACAAATATATACAAATTCAAACAACAGAAATATAAAATCACAAGGAAATGAACATGCTTGAGGTACTAAAAAAAAAACAGAACTTCATCTCAAATGTAGAAAGTTAAGCAAATCTAAGTAAAATAACATAGGGACCAAAATAAAAATTACCAAAGTCATATGCCATAAAAAAATAAATTAATAACAACCCAATACTGGACTAAGAGGACAAATGCGAGAGTTTGAAGGACCGAAGAGTAATTTATCCGAAAGCTTTAATATAAAAGCTAACTAAAGGTTAAACCTAAACTAATCCTACATCAACCAGTTGTTTTCATCACTTTTCTCTCCACTCATCTTTTTTTCAAACCCACGCAGCCCTCTCTACCTTCTTCTTTCTATTTTGTTTTGTTTTAAAACTTATATTTACTAAACTAATCTCTACCCCTATTCTTGATAACATAGCACGAGCCAAGAACAAATGGAGTCAACAAGACTCCACTTGAATTCGTACAATCCAAGTAAATTTCTAATCCCTCTCTATTTTTTCTTTATTATTTATTTCGCAACATACATGCACACATAAGGAAACTATGAAAGCAATGTAGAATAATAACTAAAAATAAATACCCTTTTGATTCTATGTATTGCTTTGGTTCGATGAAAAAGGAACTGCCCTATGTTTGTATTAATCTCTTCGTAAGAGGAAAACCCCATTTACATACTATTTTTTCTAGGGTAGCTTAGTCGAAGCTCCCCCTCTTTTACAAACTGTTTCCCCTCTTTCAAAATCGAGAGTCCCTTTCTCCAATCCTTTTTTCTCTTGAACCATGGCACCTGTAATTAATCTATAGGACCAGAGCTAACAAAGCTTCTCCCCCCACCGTCCTCCTCTCTCCAACGTGATTCTTCCCTTTTAATTCCACCGAAATGGTCTTCATTGTGGTTGCATGATTCTTTTAGTGGAGGATTAGGTTAGTTTATTTTAAGGCTTAGTGGATTTGGTGATCTTTTGGTTGATTTGTTGCTATTTGCATGTGCTCTTTGACGTAGGCGATGACAACATTTAGGTGCCTCGGTGGCTTGTTGGTTTGGAGGTGATGGCTTTGCGTGATGATGACTTGAACCGGGTCGGGTCCTATTGCTAGATCAGATCTGGCCAATTTTTGGCTCGGGTCTTGAACTCCAATTGCATCAGGTTGTAAAGCCTGTAAAATAAAAACAATAAAATATTAATAGTAATTAATATTAATAATAATAATAATAATAATAATAATAACGAGACGAAAAATGAGCTGTCGACAGAAATAATTGTAAAATATGAAGAAAACCTGTAAAATGAACTAAATTGCATTCATTTTAAAAGTTGAAAAAAATTGAAACAATTATAATATATATATATATATATTATAGTTTATATTTATATTATTATATACTATATATAAACTATGTATATTATGTATAAACTATATAGTTTATTAATATAAACTATATATAAACTATATAATGTATATATAAGGTATATATATTGTATATATAAACTATGTATATAAACTATATAGTTTATATTTATATTATCATATACTATATATAAATTTTATATATTATGTATAAAGTATATAGTTTATTAATATAAATTATATAGTTTATATATGAATTATATTTAAATATATACAGCTTATATTTATATATTATGTATAATTATAAATTATATACACTATGTATAAATTATATATTTTATATAGTTTAAATATAAAGTATATAATATATATAAACTATGAATTATATATATATATATAAAGTATAATTATAAATACCAAAATATATAAGTATATATACATGTAAAGCATAAGTATGTATATATATATATATATATATATATATATATATATATATATATATATATATATATATATATATATATATATATATATATATGTATATAAACTATAAAGTAAAAGTATACATATAAACTATAAAGTTTATATACATATATATGTATGTATAAAGTTTTAGTATAAAGTATATATACATATATAGTATATAAAGTATAAGTATATTATATATATAAAGTATAATTATAAAGACTAAAGTATATATATATATACATATAAAGTATAAGTATATATATATATAATATAAACTATATATATAAACTATATACTTTATATTTATATATATATAACTATATATATTATGTATAAATTATATACCATGTATACTAGTGTTTATATATGAACTATTGAACTATTTATAAAATATATATTTTTTAATATAAATTATATATATGTAAAATTATATAGTTTAAATATAAAGTATAAGTATATATAACTAAGTATATATATATATATATATATTATATATATATATATATATATATATATATATATATATATATTATATATATATATATATATATATATATATATATATATATATATATATAAAGTTTTAGTATAAAGTGTATATATATATATATAAAGTTTTAGTATAAAGTATATATGTATGTATGTATGTGTATGTGTATGTGTATGTGTATGTGTATGTGTATGTGTATGTGTATGTGTATGTGTATGTGTATGTGTATGTGTATGTGTATGTATGTGTATGTGTATGTGTATGTGTATGTGTATGTGTATGTGTATGTGTATGTGTAGTGTATGTGTATGTGTATGTGTATGTGTATGTGTATGTGTATGTGTATGTGTATGTGTATGTGTATGTGTATGTGTATGTGTATGTGTATGTGTATGTGTATGTGTATGTGTATGTGTATGTGTATGTGTATGTGTATGTGTATGTATATGTGTATGTGTATGTGTATGTGTATGTATGTGTATGTGTATGTATGTATGTGTATGTGTATGTGTATGTGTATGTGTATGTATGTATATGTATGTGTATGTGTATGTGTATGTGTATGTATGTGTATGTGTATGTGTATGTGTATGTGTATGTGTATGTATGTGTATGTGTATGTATATGTATATGTATATGTATATGTGTATGTGTATGTGTATGTGTATATGTATATGTGTATGTGTATGTGTATGTGTATGTGTATGTGTATGTGTATGTATATGTGTATGTATATGTATATGTGTATATGTATGTGTATATGTATGTGTATATGTATATGTATGTGTATGTGTATGTATATGTGTATGTGTATGTGTATGTGTATGTATGTATGTATGTGTATGTGTATGTGTATGTGTATGTATATGTATATGTATATGTATGTATATGTGTTGTGTATGTATATGTATGTATATGTGTATGTGTATGTGTATGTGTATGTGTATGTATATGTATATGTCTATGTATATGTATAACATACATTATATATGCATGCATCATATTATCATAACATTCATTATACATATTATATATATATATATAATTATTTTAAATTTTCCCCAACTTTTGAAATTAATGCAATTCAGTCCATTTTACAATTTTCCTCACATTTTACAATTTTTTTGATTTGATCCTTTTGTGTTGTTTATTGTATTTAAATTTTAATTTGTAATTTCATATTTGTTCAATTTAGTCCTTCAAATTATATTTGTATATGAAATTGACCCTACTTATTTATATTTTTGTAATTTACTTAAAACCCTATAAAATGTAAAAAACATAATAAACTTATTTTCAAAATTATGTTCACGAACTTTTTAAATGTATGCAATTTAGTCCATTTTTTATATTAATATCAGTTTCACATTTTATAATTAATTCAATTTCATCCCTCATCATTGCGTGTTGTTTAATTTATTCAATTTTCTATTTCCAATTTCATGTTTGTTCAATTTGGTACTTTATATATATATAAAGTATAAAGTCTATAATATAAAATAATAAAGTGTTTGGATATTAGTATTAAAGTATATGAATATAAGTATTAACTATAAAGTTTATTAATTATCATAATTAGTATTTTATTATAACATTTAAAAATTAATCATATTAATTTTTATTATTTATTATAAACTCAAAATATCACAATTTTATTAAAATCTTATATTTCATTAGTGGTAATATATAAGTTAGGTAAATACCATATCAGGTCATTAACAAGTCGGATCATTTACAACTCAGGTTGAAAACAGGTCGGGTAATACCAGTTATTTACCACGTCAATATCGGGTTCGGGTTCATATCAATCGGATGCATGTCAGGTTTGAGTATCATATTTTCGGTTCAATTCGGGTTCAGGTCATTCTCAGATCGGGTGCAGGTCGGGTTTAGATCCATAATTTCCAGGTCCAACTCGAGTCAATTTCATATTACCATAGCGTAGGTCAAAAATAATTTTGACACAAGTCGGCTTCAGTCAGTTTTACAGGTCGAGTCAGCTTTTTACACCCCTAGTTGTAGTTGATGCACTTAGCCGAAAAAACTTTCATAACCTTGTGAGCTTTGGATGCACATTTATCTTTAAAGGAAAATAGTTGCATTGTTGGCTGAGTTAAGGATCAAGCCGATGATTTTGGATCGAATAAAGGAACTACAAGATAAAGGTGACAAATGTTTATTAAGGATTGAACAAGTGGAAAAAGGTGAAACTAAAGACTTTGAAGTCAATTCTAATGAATGCTTGTATTATCGAGAAAGAATATGCATTCACGATGGTGAGGAGTTAAAGAAATATATTCTTTCTGAGGCACATTATAGCCCGTTGACTATGCACCCATATAGGAACAAGATATATCAGGACCTAAAAAGTCGGTATTGGTGGCCTGGTATGGAAAGAGCCATCACATAGTTTGTTTCAACATGTTTGACATTCAACAAGTAAAAGCGGAACATCAAATGCCATCAAGATTAATGCAACCGATTTCTATTTCTGAGTGGAAGTGGGAACGAGTTACTATAGATTTTGTTATAGGGCTACCTTTGACACACAACAAGAAAGACCCAATTTCGGTGATAGTTAACAGATTAACCAAGACAACACATTTCATTCTAGTGAGAATGGATTACTCATTGGAAAAGTATGTTGAGTTGTATATAAAAGAAATAGTTTGGTTTTATGGTGTGCTTGTATCGATAGTATCTGAAAGGGATCCAAGGTTTACTTCAAGATTTTGAAAGTCATTGCACGAAGCTTTGGGTACTTGATTGAATCTTAGCATGGATTTCAATCTGTAGACAGATGGACAGTCTGAATGGACTATTCAGATTTTGGAGGATATGCTGAGGGCATTGTGATCGAGTTCAAAGGATTGTGGGAAAAGTATTTAAATTTATAAGAATTTGCATAAAACAACAGCTATCAAACAACATCAAGATTGCTCCGTACAAAGCTTTATATTGGAGAAAGTGTTGAACATCATTGAATTGATTCAAGTTAAAAGATCAAGATCTAGTTTGCCCTGATTTATTGAAAGAGGTTAAAGATAAGTGGATAATCCAAGATGATCTCAAGATAGCATCTAATTGGCATAAGTCTTATGCAAACTTGAAAAGAAAAGAGATCAAATTTCAAGAAGGTGATAAAGTCTTTCTTAAAGTATCACCCTGGAAAAAGATACTGCGATTTGGGCATAAAGGAAAGTTAAGTCCAAGATTCGTTGGACCTTATGAGATCTTAAAGAGAGTTGGACCAATGGCTTACCAGTTGGCGTTACCTTCGAAAATGGAAAAAATTCATAACGTTTTTCATCTGTCGATGCTCAGGAAGTATCGATCGGATCCTTCGCATGTCATTACACCGGAGAAGATCGAGATCCAACCAGATTTGACTTGCAAAGAAGAACCAGTGAAAATTTTGGCTAGATGAATCAAGGAACTATGGTACAAGACTATTCCTCTAATCAAAGTCCTTTGACATAATCATAAAGTCGAGGAGGCTACCTAGGAAAGAGAGGAGAACATGGAAAAACAATATCTGCACCTCTTTACATCAAGTATGTATTAAAATTCATGGTTGAATTTTTATTTAGGGGGAGAATTGTAATACCCAAATTTTGTTTAGTGACCAAAATATAAGTTTTGAACGTTTAATGGCCAAAATATAAAATTGGGTAACGTACAGGGACCTAAGTGGTTATTTTCCCAAAAAATAATTTTTATTCCATAAATTGATAGTTTACTCTTGAGGATGGGGCTATATGGAAATCAGATTCTTGATCCAAAAATTTTGTTAAAAACTAAAAAGGGTTAAAGTCATAAAAAATTCGGTAAATCGGATAGAATAAAAATTTTGAGAAAAAAATTTAAGGATGATAAATTAGGTTTAAAAATATTACTTCCAATTTTAAAATGATGGAAAATAATATAAATCATTGGATTAGAGAATTTATTTCCATACTCAATTTGGACTATTGGATTTAAGTGGCAAGATTGAAGTTTTTAAAAAGTTGCATGGATAAAATGGCAAAGGGGTAAAATATTTTGTTCATCTTTGACTTTTGAAATATGATAAGGGTCATGTGGGTTTGGTGGTAATTATAATGTTTCATTAAGGGTAAAATGGTCTTTTTCCCAATTAAATAAATTTAATATTCTTTTAAAATTAAATAAAAGATAAATTTACATGATATTACTTAGAAGTTTCATGTAATCTTCCCCATTTTTATATCCAAGACGTGAACATCATCCTAAGGTAAGATAAAATTTCTTTTTTATTTTTGAGCAATTTCCTTGGATTTTAGATCGAGTCGTGAAATAGAAATTTTTTTTATTCGAAAAACGCTATTATTTGGTACCATTTATGCATACTAATATTGCTTGTGTTCAAAGATCCCAAATCCTAAGGTTTATGTTCATATTAGGTTTTACGAAATTGATGATGGATTTTGATGTTTTTGAGGTTGTAGATTCATTTCCAAGCTTCTTTGATGATTAAAACATGCTCAAACCTCTTAGAAATGCTATTGGTATTTTTGACCTAACCCTAAAATTTAGGGAAGTTTGTGTTTTGATGAAATTTGATTAGGGGATTGATTGTAGAGAGTTTATAATGTTGAATTGAGGTTGATTTCATGTTCGAATAGAATCGAAATCAAGTAAAACCCATGAAAGCCCTAGTCTTGGGTACTTGAAGCATTTAACCTTGTCTTTAGAGGATGAGAAAAATTATGGAATAATTATGTAGGGGCTAGAAATGATATATGCAGTATTTTACAAGACATAGAAAATTTGGGGGACCATTTTGTAATTTTATGAAAGTTAGGGGACCTATTCAAAATTATGAAAAGTTGCAGGTGAAAGTGTAGTTGTTCAAAAGTTGTTTTAGCTTGCTGAAAATTGCTTTTTAAGTGTTGGAATTTAAGTTGAAATGTGAAATTGGATCATTTTTGAAGCTTGGTAAGTTAGGTGATTAGTACAGAAATTTTGAATAGTTTGAGGGCTTTAAAGATGAGTTTTTTAATTGTTAATGTACTTGGATGGTAATAATCTCAATGTTGGAATTCTAGTAATGAAATTTAAGTGAGTAAAATGGTGAAGGACCATTTTACATAAATCGTAAAAGTTGGTGCCAATATTAAAGAAATTAATAAATATTGAAGTATGTTGATATCGAATAAGTTTCGAATATATCTTATGGATTGTTGTTTTGGAATTTAATTATGTTAGTACAATACTAGCATATGTTTCAATATGAAATTGTGACTTTGTACATATTGTCATTGACTTCGTGATCGAAGGGAATCTAGTATAAATTGATCAAGTTTGCAACTTAGTGAGGCAAATCTTTTGAAATATATAAAGTGTCAAGGTGAGTGTAATGCATGCATGAAATTATACATGGATGTTTTATACATCATTAGGAAGACTTGCAACAATCCTACCTTGTTTATATTGGCATGATATTTATGTCATTTATCATACATTTGACATATTCTAAATATGTCAAATGTTGAATATGAAAAATGCATTGATCATTGGTTATTACATATAATGTTTGTCATGAATATATATGATATTTATCATGAATGTTATTGCGGGTATGAACTGCCCAATTTTAGATTGTATTAATATACTTTGCCATGGATGGATTAAATAAATATAGATTATATGCCCAAGTATGTTATTGAGGGTCGACAGTATTGATGGCATGCCATGGAGTCTAGCAGCTGCATATTAAACCGTACTAAAGGATACCTAGTGTTGATGGTGGGCAAGGCCTTATGTGTCATATTCGGGACCGTACTAAAGAATACCTAGTGTGGGTTAGTACTAAAGGATACCTAGTGCTGATGGTGGAAATGACCTCCCGTGTTATATTGGTTTAGCACTTTGGTGCATATTTGACTCGTGTACCAGAGTCCTTATAGGTTTATATATTGGGATATGGTTATTGATAATACTTTTATATTGCATTTTTATCATGTTTATCATGGTAACATGATGGGTATCCAGGTAAGATGATCATACTACAATTGACAATGACATTCAGTTACATGAATGTGACATATTGTATTGTTTACTATTTTAATTGCCTCACTAAATATATACTTAGCATGTGATTATTTTCACGTGTAGGTAAAAAGTAGGAGTAGGAGTAAGGAATACTGAGCAACCCCAAGCATCGAGGAGTATATTACAATATCAGTAAGACATCCTTCGATGTGATTTTGACTTATTTAGTGGCATGTACTTATTAAATATCCTAGTTGCTCTGTTAACCTATTTTGGAACTGGTTTGTAATGGCTAAACTAAAAATGCTTAACTATGGTTTACTAAAATTAGTATTATTTAGCATTATCAGTATGAAAGGACACTTTTATATTATAACATGATTTAAAATATTATGATTAAATATTTTATATTAATGGTTATAAAGCTGGTATTGTTTGAAAGAAATAAAATTTTTCCCAGTTTGACTTAAGAAATGTTTTAAATAACTGATTTGACATTTGTAACTCATATTGGTTCGCGTATACGGGTTATGGGTGTTACACAA